CAAAGGATCTAATTATCATAAGGCTGAGATTGATCTCGAATGAGATACTGTATTCGGACAAGCGAGTATGCGGCGTTCATGAGCCGTGCTTACATGATGCGTCATGGCTCATGCTGACATACTGAGAACAGCCTTACAGAGTGCCGACATAACCGAGTAAGAAGAACGATCGACTTATGACTGGAGCTTCGAATCACATTCAATTAATACTTCGTCATATTGATCCCTGCAAGTTGGGGTCCGCTGTGACATTGGTATAGATCGTGCTGGTCAGTACCTGTGGCTGGGTCATTTCGGCAGTTCCACAGGCAAAATGTGAACTTGAGTTGGCTGTCTTTGAGCCAGTTGTCAACGCAGAAGAACAAAAAGAGAAATTCGGCCAAAAAGACTGTGTCTTGTCGGTGGAGAGGCTCGAACTCTCGACCTTTGGATTATTCTGATCTGGGACCAAATCACGCTTCGTGCTATGAGACCAACGCTCTAACCAACTGAGCCACACCGACAGTGCTTTTTGAGTGGGTTGAGATGCCCACTCAATTCGTTGGCGGAGAGCGAAAGAATTGCCGTACAAGAAGTCGAAGCTGATCAATAATGGACAGCATTGATAGGTAGTAGGGATACCATGGGACTGTTATTCCAAGACGCGCCTCAATCCAGGGTATTGCCCCAGTAGACCAGGCGTAAAGACCCTGCGTCATCCAGTCTGCTCACGTAAAGACCAGCCTGCAACTCAATCAACGAGTACTTTCTCAACGCTAAAAATTAAGACTCAATCCCTCCTGTAAACTCGTCATTGCTCTGGAGTCTACTTGACAAGCACCTTGAACACGAAGTTCCTGATGTTACCCATTCATCTGGTTCTTCAACGCTAGACACTCTCTAGTCAAGCAGGCCAGACCCACCGGCAACTAGCGAGGAGTGCAAAAAGAGAACATGCGGTTTGTGTGGATCGAACACACGACCTTCAGATATCGAATGATGGTGATTGAAGTTGAACTTCAGTCTGACGCTCTCCCAACTGAGCTAAACCCGCTTGTTGTATTGCCGCAAATTGACGGACACCATAGACGACTCCCCGCCACGAACCACGGACTCTTGAGCTTGGGATTATGCACTGATTCGGTCGAGTTTGTTGAATCACTTCCTCAATCTACAACTAGGGGAGTTCCAATGACAATTGAGCAGTATAGCCAACCAGAACTTGTTGGGTTGTTGGCGGGTGCGATTGATGTTGGCCTGTCTTGCCGCCACTTGACATGGCGAAATTGTTTGAGTCCAAGCTCAAGGGTAGGCTTTGATGTATGCCGAAAAAGTCAATTGGCATATCTTCCCTGGGGCCATGAAGTCGTCTCTGTATTAAACTGGGCATAGTGCTGGCATATTGATTATTTACCATTGCCTGATTTTGGACAGGTGGTATCGTGGAAATAAACATGTTTTGATGTTGATGCGATTGAGGTGAATTCAGTGGATGCTAACCATGGTCAGCAATCCACTGGAGTAGGATTTTAACCACTCTAGCGAATTGAATTGACTCACTGTGATTTCAATTGATAAGAAGTTACCTGATCTTCTGTAAGGGGCAGTAAAGACAGAAGAATAACTCAGAGAAAAAATACCACCAGATGTTGTGAGTAAGGAGAAAAGACAGTGGGTGATGGGACAACTGTGAAGCCGTCAATATAGGTCAAGAGATAGGCTTTGTCTTGCACATACGACCATACCTGCAGGAAAATACGGGATCCCGTCCGCTCTCCCATAGTCAAGCCTGTAAGGGGCGGATCAGTAGTTGGGTCGGTGACGACCAGCGAATCCCCGCTGTTGTATGTTTTTGCTGGCTCTGTCTGTGAGCTGCATCACTTTTTGGCTGTCGCCAATTGCGCGGTTGTGACCGTGCTGAGCAAACTGATCGTTGGCCGTCTGCCTGTCGTGTTGATCTTATAGCTCAATAAGCTACAAGAAGCAGCCAATAGTTGCCGGGCAGATAGCAACCCAGACATACAGTAAGTAAATACAGTGCGATGATTCAGTGATAAAAAGAGAACTAGCGTAAATTGCAGCTCCGGGAGATGGTGCCTGCGAAAGAGGTCGATACTTGAAGCCGTTCAATTGCCTGTCTGTTGGGCTCTAGGTGCTGGCTCTGTCAGCTCTAGCGACCTTGCAAGACGTTGTGTTGACAGGAGAAGGAAATGTACCTTTTGCGTTGATGGCTCTTGAGTGCTGCCGTAGCGAGCGCATGGTCGCAAATACAGGGGCTATCCCCTCATGGTCCAGAGTGTTATCGCACTGATAAGCCGCCTTATGAAAAGTACCATTTTGTGGCTGGTCAATTCGACAGCGATTTGAAGGCCCCGTTATTGTTAGAGGACACGCAATGTCACTTAGTACGCGAGCACCTCGACGTGTCACATCGCGTCGCGTTATATCATGCCAAGTCCTCTTCCGCATCTGGCACGCGTGACTGAACACGGATGCCCCCTGTCACTGTGTAATTAATAACGCACTTCTTTTTAGAATACTTTCCGAGCGTCACCATTTGGTGTTCCCATTGCTTCTAGTGCCGTTAGAGGTAGTCTTGATGATGCTCATGATACCAGAGGATTCACAGCCCCCAGCGCGCTCATTTGACAAACTCTCAAGTCCTTTGTCTCATTGTGATCCCCCTTCATGCCAATCATTTCCAGCTACCTACCTGAAGATCAAATACATATCCCGCAAAGCTAAAAGGGCCGCCAGTGGCGTCATGGGTAGTCTGCCCTAGGAGTTCATAAGCCAGGACATCATGATGGACACGTCGTAGCGCGAAGCACCGTCGGAGCCTCTTGTCCAACATCTCTATGTGACATAACGAGAGCCAGACGTGACCTAGATAAACCACGGGACCGGAACATCGCACTCAACAAACTGCAACCAGTTGACACGCTGGCCAGCTTTTCCAATACTCAGGAGATCCTGGTGTTTCCAGACACCCTCGATAACATCTCGTAGAACTTTGATGTTGCCAATGCTCCTCACACTGTCCATTCTGTCAAGTGTATGCAGAATGCTGACGCGGTCTTGCTCATTGACTTCACACGCGATGATAAATACTGGCCATGGACTGGTTGCAACGTCTAGGCTTTTCAAGACTCCCAGGGCTTGCTGCACGTAAACCGGCCGCGTGAAATCGTCCTCCGCGATGGGATGCACGCGTTGGAGATAGAGCAGTGTCGCTAGACGATACAACTCAGCGATAGTCAAAATGCGATGTGCTCTCAAACCATCGGAACTCTCAATGGGAGTAAGTAACTGTCGGAGGTTGTAAAGCCTCATTGCCAAACCACACCTTTGCAGCGTCGAGGTGCTCAGATCATCATGTGCCGAGTGTAGTCGCATCATATTGATCTCATCAATGGTCTCAAGGACCTCCACAGAACAGCCCAAAGACCCCACGATCTGGGCCAGAGTCAGAAGAGTGGAAGTAAGAACGGGGGCACTTACGAGAGACTTATCACCACTGAAAGCGCAAAGAGGGGTCATTGAGGCGGAGCTAGGGCTTTCGTTTAGTCGCCATGATGGATGGTTGAAAGCAGCCAATACATCATGATATAGCCACCAGGTAAGCAGGAAATCCGAGCTTGAGCCGGGGGTATCTGTGCACTGTCGCCTTATTATCTCCTTCGCTCCGTTCAAATGAATGTGCCAATTGTGCTCTTCTCTATCAAAGACCTGTGAAGAATTAGTTACGGTAGCCCAGTTTCTGGTCATACGGACATCATAAACACAAAGCATCATTACTGCTGCAAGCTGGACTTGATTGGTCGATGCACATTTTGACCTCGTACTACTTGCGAGGGATATTGACAAGTTCCGGACGGCTTTCAGTTTGAACGACATTGCATCAGCTATCGAGTTTGAGTAGTGGATCATTGCTACGGCTATCATTGCATTGAGCAACGCAAGAGCTGAATTGTCTTGGCTTGATAAAGCCATGGGTAGTAATGTCAAACAAAAGCCATTTTGAGCTTGAGTTGTAGAGATCATTGTGGATATAACGTTTTGATCTGGTTTCGTTAGCCAGTGTCCGAGGGAAATGGAGAACCTCACACACAGTAACCGAGAAGCATGCCTGCACGATTGAGCAAGGGGCTATGAAGGGTGAGACTGCGTCGAGGTCGTTGTGGGAGGAGATCCACAAGCATATGGCCACCACCTTTTGTGAAAGCAATATTAATATCTGACACAGATATGTTCAAGAAGAATTTGCCATAGTGAACCGATCCTGATGGTGTTGTTGGAGGCCGATGCTCAGCAGGGTCACGTTTTCTCCGCCGCCCATCGTGACGATCTGGCCAGAGAAGTTGAAGGCCATACCCAAGACACTTTCTTTGCGTCCGAATGCAGTTATTACAACTCGGCGTTGCCCTATCACAGCCGATCTTGCGGCCTACACCTATCAGCTTGGAGATCACCATAGGATATGTCATCTTACGTTTGCAGGTCCAACAACTTTGTTTGGGCGGCATCTTCGCTTGCTACTGGACACTGACAGAATCTCAGGACCTCGAGTTTTGAAGTTGTTAATCCAAGGCCTCGGATGAATTGACAGTTTGTTTCGGTATCTTGCCACTTCATGGCTCAATGGGTAATGGAAGTCAGCGGGGTCCAGAAGATGATGTGTCAGCCGCCAATAATCACCACATTCGTAACTGATTCCAAACAGGCAATTCGACCCAGCAATTCAGAGTATCCAATAAGTTCAAGGCTTCGTTTAGCATTAGCTGAAAATAGACTGACTGAATGCATGAGAACAGCTAGTCTCTGGAGTATTTGAATCCAAAGGCAATTGACAATTTATGCGATTGAATATCTGAGAGGACGAGTGACTACGAGCGCTATCGTGGAAACGAAACCGGGCATGATCCGAACTTCCACAGAGAGGAAAATCTCCTGGGCATTTATAATGTAACCTTTGGATAAGGCTTAAAGAGAAACCAGCCTTTCTTAATCTCTCCTCGCCACTAATCCACGACGACATGTTTTGCAACCTTGTCGTTGACCTTGAGACTCAGCAGGTCGGGCCGCGCATAATGTCCAACGACATCAATGAAAGCCTTGGGCTTATCAATATCTCTCAGATTGACCACAGCTGTGATGATGCCCTCTTCACCGTCGCCAATAGGCTCTGCAAGTGGCTTGCCATCGGGCCCAAAGATCATCGAGAATCCACCACCCGGCTGTATCAACAGTCAGCAGTCTGTCCATCTTCAAGGAGGGTCATCTCACTGTTTTGGTCACAGGATTGCCTGTAAGTCCATTTATTTCCAAGTTCTTTTCGGTAAGAACCTGTGAGGCCACAGCGACAAAAGTTGCCCCTTCAATGGCCATGAATTGACTTGAGCGATAGCTCGCCTCGCCAGTCTCGTGGTACAGCCAAGCAATCTTCTCAGGGTCTGGCATCTCAAACTCAGCTGGCCAACTGGCGATATGGATCTGTACACCCTGTGCATATTCGTTGTATCGAAGTAATGGCTGCAAATGCTCCCAGCAGTTCAACGCGCCGACCTTTCCGAACTTAGAGTCAACGACGACTTTGAGTGATTCGGCCTGTCCTTCACCCCAGATTGTTCGTTCCACGTGAGTTGGCTTGATCTTCCGTCGATGATGGATAATTTCGCCATTTGTATCGATGAATGACTGTCCCATGTACAGGCTTGCCCCATCTCGTTCACTGTACCCGAGAACGACGAGCATACCCGCTTTCTTGACAGCTTGTTGGATTCGCCTCATTTGAGGCTAGTCTCGGCGCATAGAATTGGCCATGTACTCGTGGATCCAACCTCCATTGTTGATGACTGGAGACGTCCACATTTGCCTGTATAGCCCTGTTATCATCATGCGTACATAGTAGAGGAAACCATTCTGGCTGACAGATTCCGATCATACCATGGATAGCCAGGGATCCAAACTTCGGGAAACCCAAGTACTTGGACTCCATCAGCGGCTGCTTTCTCGATCAGGAAGATGGTTTTGTCAACGCTTCCTTCCAGGTCGAGCCATACAGGCTCTGCTTGCACGGCACCGACTTTGACAATTTGGTCCATGTTAGACAGAGTAAATGATTTTATTACAGGCTGAGGAGAAACAAATTGGAGAGGGCGTGCTCTGCCGCTTTTCCGTCTTGATCCTGGACACGAGGAGGGCTTATTTATACATGGTTAAAGTATTCATCCTTCGAGATTCCATGATACCGGATGCTTTGACGATAGTTGGTGGGGGTGAATTGCCGAGATCCGTGTAAAGCAGATAACCCAAGGGCAATAGTTTGCGATCTCAAGTGTCATAGACGTCGTGTCGTTGATACTCTTGCTCCAAGACAAGCAAAAAGATCCACTATGGCACACACACATCAACACTCCCTGATTACTTATCGCATAATTATGGCCTGTTTTGGATATGAAAGCCGGCATCTAGCCTACTGCTTGCTGCTACCCCGCATGAGCTAATGGCCATGTTCGCAAACTCTTGCCTCACGATTTTCACTAATGGGTCTTCGATTGAGTCAAATTGAATCCAATGACTAGCTTATGTGCTACAAAGGAGCGCACTCGACGGCTGCGGCTGACAATGTGTGTTCGGGAGGGGCCAGAATTGCTCCCGATTCATAACACCACAACTATACTATCAGCGTCGTCTTTCTTCCCAAGCTCGGCAGCCTTATTTTACGCCGCTGGCGGCATCAGCGCATCCACATCCGGGCCCCATCCATCATCGTTGGAGATAGTAATCGTGTTGTCCGACCCCTCTTTCAGATCAAAGAAACCCCTGCTGAGTCCCGTCTGAGAAAGATGGCTGGTGGACAAGAACGCAAGCTTCTGAGATTCGCCGTTGACATTGACAGTCGCATATCGTGATCCGGTGTCGCCATTTCGGTACTTAACGTTGATAGTAGCTGTACCACCCGAGCTCTTGATGTTCTTGAAGGTAAGAGTGCCTTTCTTGTCGCCTCCGATGTAGCCGACGGCTTTACCGCCACTGCATTCGCTGCATGAGATGACTCTGGCATCGTTGCCCATTGTTGCGGTCTCACCCTCGATCTTTGCCATCTTTGTCTCGGACCAAGTGCCCTTTGAGAGATTTGGGGACCAAGAATCGTACCAGCTGAGTGTAACCTTGGAGCCATCGACCTTGAGCGGAAGCCAGACGTAGGTGCTAGCGGCGAGGTTTGTAGAGACCCAGCGATCGCCAATGTAGATGGCATTACCGTTACCGAGAGGCTGAATGTAGCTGACCTGGCTTTGGTAGGTCTTTGATCCAATAGGTGCAAACTCGGTCCAGTTGGACCATGGACCAGACAGTGACTTGGCGTAGCTGTAGATCTATTGGGGCGTTGCGTTAGTAACCTTGAAGCATAACCAAGGGTCAGGAGGTTCCCTTACATTATCATTGGCATTCCATCCGGTCAGATGAGAGCCAAAGATGAAGTAATATCCGTTCTGCTTCAACATAGCTGGGGACTCAGCAAAGTACTGCCACTCGTATGTGATCTCAGTGACGTTGAGGTAGTCGTCTGACAATGCCATGATTCGTGTTCCATACTCTCGCTGTAACTTGATCAGTTCCTGTCCTTTCCCAAAGTTCACAATAAAAGGCTTACGTCTTCAGTCATGAGATATGCAGATCCGTCATCATCCTTGAAAAGTCCCATATCGCGACTCTGCTTACCAAGAGGTCTGAAGCTTCGATGATAGGTATACTTGCCGCATACACTATCACCAGTTGCAATACCAACACGCGCATCCTTATAGTCTGGGCTATCGATGTGCATGTAAAGAACATACTTCTTTGTCTGGTCGTTGTAAATGACCTTGGGTCTTTCAACGATACGGTTGGGGCCGAGGTCGCCTGCATCGCTGGTGCGGGAGAGGAGAGCACCTCGGTATGTCCATTCGACGAGGTTGGTGGAGGAGTAACAGTTGACGTTCTGGAAGTATGTCCCGTCTGTCTTGTCCTCGCCAATCATGTAGTAGGTTCCATCAACCTCACTTGAAGAGTCAGATCTCTGCCCGACAAGATAGGGTGTGATACTTACATCAAACCATGGCCGTGGGCTTGGACATGCTCACCAGTGTTGGTCTATGTGAAATCCGGTCAGCAAAGCACTCGTGCACTGAGCTTTCAGTTGACTCACAGCTGTCCATGTTGCTCCAGACACGATGTCAAGAGAAGCCTGAACGGTGCCGGCTGCAAGCACAGCAAGAAGAGTTGAGAAGAAGCGAGGCATCGTGCGATCTGGTATGGGACCGCTTTGAAGGACCCAGCTGCAGTTCTTGGAGCTTGATCGGGACCAACTTTGAGGATTCATCGACGTTCTTATTATACTTCGCCCCGGCTCAATTCTCTTTGCGGTATGCTCGGACGCCGGCGAGACATGGCCCGATGTGAAGAATCTCTTTTCTGGGGTAAGTCTCCGTTACTTCGCACTCGACTTCTGTTTAGCTCTACTCGGGTATTCGGTACTTGGAAACCAGTATAAGGTTATGTGATCGCCGTTACAATTTCCTTCCACGGGTTCTTTCATATGCGCACCAATTTGGAGACTCTGGTTCGGTCATAGGAACCTTCCTTTGTGAGTACTTCACATGATCTGCCGGCCCATATGCGGGGCCGACAGTAAACAAGGAGTGAAAGGTCTGGGGTAATCGACAGGGGGAGATCGAGTGATAGCCCGGGGGTATCGGAGCCGGGAAGAACATATCCTTGTTCCAACGTTACTTGAGCCAAGACATTTGCACCGAGTGGTACATGTTGCATCGGACCATCGACGGAGCAATTGCATGCTTCTTTCACCGTCTGAACTCTCATACCATGTTGCAAATCCAGCCTGACAGTTGGCATGGTCCACCAAAGGTTCATGGCGACATGCAGTCAATGATACGTCCTCTACTAGGGGCTTGAAATTATACATGGAGGGTAACAGGAATCGTTGGGCTTGCGATGATGCGTGACTACTACTATATTCATGTGGCACAAGATCGTCCTCTCACGAACCTTGAGTGCCTTCCATCATCATGAGATTTTCAAGTTTCTTCAATATGAATGAGCATTGCGAAGGTATAGCATTGCAGATTAACCAGACTCTTTGAGATCTATATGAATATCGACAGACAGTCTTTCTATACCACACAGCTCACAACTACCTAAACATCAATAACCTTTGCCTCATTCTGGTTCATAGTCGCCCGAACTGTTTCAGCAGTCCTAGGCTCCAGTGACTTCTTAACAGGATCAGGGGCATCAAAGACCTCGTTAAGCTCCTCCAATGTCCGGTCCTTCGTCTCTGGGAAGAAGAAGAAGATAAACGCAGCCTCAAGCAGATCCCAGAACACGAAAACGAGATAAAAGTAGTAACCAATCTTCTCAAAGGCTGGCCCCGACGAGTAGGCCAGGACGAGGGAAATACAGCTAGAAGCCCAGTTACCCAGTGCTGTTCCCTTGGCTCGTGTCGAGGTGGTGAGTGTCTCTGCGATGTACATGCTTTGCTGCGCAGTCCATCCAAGTGAAAAGACGACACCGAAGAGGAAGACAAACGCAATGGTGGTGTTGGCTGCGTTCTTGTTGCTTGCGTCGTCGACAGCCATCTTGGATGTTCCTGTGATGACGGCAAAGATTACTGAACAGAAGAGGATGCTGTAAATGAGAAGAGGTCGACGGCCAACGCGGTCAGTAAGACGGGCACCGATGACCGAGCCGATCAGTCCAAGAACGCTGTTGGTGGCATTGAGAGCGAGAACAAGCTTTTCATCCTTGATACCAGCCGTGTTCATCATGGCGACAAGGTAGTAGCTTGACAGCGAGTTGCCAGATGCTTGACCCATAATAGCCATACCGAGAACACAGATGAGACGTCGCTTGTTGCTGTGCGAGTTCCAGAGCTCACGGTAGTCCCACCATCTCTTGTCTGAAGCTTCAGTCGAGATCTGGGCCATCATCTCCTTCATCTGAAGCTGGACAATAGGATGGTCGACTGATCCTTCGCCGTGATACTTGGCGAGAATGGCGGCAGCTTCATCGTGCTTATCATTGGCGATCAACCATCGGGGCTGTTACTTGGTCAGTAAGTGAGCGGTGGTGATCTTGGCAGAGAGACTTACAGATTCAGGGAGGAAGAATGCAAAGATTGCGACAATGCCCGAGGTGACAAGCTGGATCCAGACTGGGACTCTCCAGCCGTTGTTGCCTTTGATGTAAGCGCTGCCATAGGTTGCCCAGCCAGCGATGATAGCTCCGACAGGCCACATGCAGTTGTAGAGACCAGTGAGAGTGCCTCTCCACTAAACTATGGTCAGAAAAGTTTACGTAGACTTGGCAATGCTGCTTACTTTGGGGTGAGCAAGCTCGCTGACGTAGGTCGGGGCAGCGATACAGCAGTACGAGACACCAAAGCCGAGGAGGAATCGACCACCCATGAACTGAGGCATGGCTTTCGCGGTTGCCCTTCATCATTGTTAGCTCTGTCTGTGGAGAGTCGAGGCAATGACTCACTGAACACAAGTGCCGATGATGATGATAAGAGCACCAGTGAACATTCCGGCGCGTCGTCCAAAACGATCAGTGGTGAAAGGGACAGTCGGGGCTGCAGCAATGCTGCCAACATTGTAGATCATGAAAACAATGCCAGTAGCAGAACCATCAGATTTCCTGTAGCAGGTCAGTCAAATGTCACTCGCCGCAAGGTGGCTATGAATCCTACA